CTGACAACGAGCATCCGGCTAGCCAGGATGCAGATGAGCCATGGCGGGCAGGATTGGGGAGGCAAAGGACGCGCGGGTGCAGGAGATGAGGACCACGGCCATGGTCAGGCTGGGGGGAAAAAGAAGAAAGCTGGAAGGACAGGCAGAGGAACGTGTGGCCAACTGGAGCCAACCACGAGGATGAAGTGCACTTGGCGGCGTCGAATACAGCCGAGCTGGCTGCGGCTTTCGGCCAGAGGAAGGCCAAGGGTCTGAAGAAGCATCAGCTACACGTCGCAGCGACGTACGTATTGGCTCTTCGTTGGCCGATGGGAGGGGCTCTGTTGGCAGCAGCAATCCCGGGCCAGAGTATGCATGCCGTGCCAAGGATGCAATTGACAAACGAGCCGACGTGCAGTTGAAGGCAAGTTCTGGTCCCGACGTATCTGCTGAGGCACGATGATGCGAGCAAGTACGACTGGAATAAGAGATGTAACCTGCGAGCGGCTGGCGGTAACTCGACGTCGGAAGTTGAGGCGCATCCATCCCAAAATTACAGGGACAGGGGGTAACCCCGGCATATCACACGGTTAGCGTTGACTTGGATGGGAGCAAGACAATCAGGAACGGGACTAGGATCAGGAACAAGAACAGGAACAGGGGGGCGAAAAGGAAGAGAGGAAGGGAAAAAAAAAAAGGGCTGATGATGGAGGGGCAGAGGAAAGGAGGGGTCCGTGGGGTGTGAGTGAGTGTCGAAGGCGGATTGGACGCAAGGCCAAATGGGCGACAGTATTGGGCGTGGACTGATGGCTTGGGATGAGAATGAGATGGGAGATGGGATGGACGTTGGGCGGTTTGAGATTTGGAGGGGCGTGGAATACCGGACGATGGTGAGGTGAGCCCATTCGCGCCTGCCCTGGCCCTGTGGTGAAGCTGAGCCAACCAACAATCATCGAGTTGGTAACACGCAAGAAAGGCTCAGTGAAGCCGTGTGCCGTCCCGTCCTTTCCTGGTTGGTCGCTGCGGTTGCCCCCCAGAAATGCCCGAGGCGGGCGCGCGTTCACGGCCTTGCTGCTGCTGCTCTGCTTTAGCCCAGTCTGCGGCCAGCGTGCAGCTCACGGCAACAACTCAGCAATGGGTGCCGTGCGGTCTGCCATTAGCAGGTTAGGCAGAGACTCGAGAGATGGAAGAATTGGGACATTCGCTCAATAATTGATCCCCAATTCAGCATGAACTCGTATCCCAATCCGGACGCGTCGGCCCGCCTGTGCGCCGCGACCTCAGGTGCATTGTGAGAGCTTCCTTTTTCCCCCCCTTCCTGGCGGCGCCGCGCCCATAGTTTGGCCGAGGCAGGGTCTTTCTGGCCGTCTTGCTGCAACGATGCCAAAGTCGAGTCGACGTCTGATGGACGACAGCTGATATTGCAAACTGAATCAGGCCGACCGCGAGATCGGTGGCGTCCACGATGCAGCTGCCCGTACGGGAAGGGAAGGGAAGCGAACCCTTACCGCACGTCGACATGCTGCAAATTGCAACCTGCCTGCAGACTGCAGCTGAGCATGCAGCTGAATATGCAGCATCTCCGTGGTCGTCGCGGTGGGCTGTCCAGAAGCTGCAAAATATTCTCAAGGGAGCGCGACTGGAGATGGCAAGGTCGCGATGCGTAAAATGAGAGAGTCGCACCAGCGCGGCGGGACGAGGACCGTCTGCTTCACCGGCGCCGTCCCGTTGTTGATCACCCACAGGGCACAAACGCAGGTGCCAACCACGCTAACCCCACTCGGGACCGTTTTTTTTTGCATAGGGCTAGCTTCTTGAGGACTAATTCAACGGTAGGCTCCTGCTTCTGCCCGGCATCTCCAAGAACCTACAACCTACATAGGAAAACTAACGATGCACTCTGCAGGTATAGCAACTGCGAACGAGCTCACTTGGGCATGGTCAACTCCACTGCAACATCAACACCTTCGCTCTCCACCGCCGCCTCGTAGACACGACAGACTTTGCTAGCCAGCTTCCAACTCTCATCTTCCTAGCTTCAACGTTCGCCGTGAACCTCCGAACACCATCGTCAGCATCAATAGATCTGAATCTCGACCCATGATCCTCACTCCACCCATCTCCACCTCGGGTGTATCGTGATGGCACGTCTGCTCGCCGGTCTCTGTCCCGCCGATCGAGATTTCAGATAATCCCTCGCTGATTCCTACCAAGGCACAATGCCAGCCCTTACCGTCCGATCATCCAGGTCTGGTGTCTGTGTTTCGCCATCGAGAAATTCCAGAATCTCGACCTGGGAACTCAAAGCGCCGTCGGGGTTGTGTGCTTGTCTGTGCCCGTCTTACAAACAGTCCGATCACTAGTCATCGCCGACGCCGCAGACGCATCTCGAAGACATGCCAGCCTCTACAAAAAGAAAAATCAGAGGCGCCCACTTTAGCCTGTGGGCAAAACTCTCCCCCACTCTTTGCTTTGGTGGGTGAAGCTCGGTAAGGGCGAGATTCACGTCACAACGGCTCTCAAAGTCTTGACAGCCCCCTGGCCTTGTCTGATCGGCTCCGGGCTATTGGAACGCCGCAGCGGTCATGGGACCAATCTTCTTCCTCTCGCTGGTCTTGACTCTTTGCTTCTTGTTTTTGTCGGTTTTGCAGTAGCATAATAACCACCTTCAACACACTTTGTTTTGGCGCTTTGTTCCGAAGGCTTGCGTCTGGAAACAATACTAGCTTCTGGGGTACATGGGATGCTGCCGAACGGTTCCTTCTGCCAGAAACGTTTGCACCGCGAGGCATGCATTTCCATTGAAAGACAACGACTTGTTGGTCTGAAACAGGGTTCAAGCTGCGTTGTCGTCCCCACGAGGCGTTCTTGCTCAGACTCTCGGGAGATTGAGGGTCCACCCATTCCTTCGAGCCCTTCAATCTCGCAAGGGAAGGATTCTTTCGTTGTTCTCCAAGTTTTTTTTCCCTGCCGGCGTCATACCGAGTGTTGACGGCGGCATGCCGGCTACAACCAACAGAGTGGGCGACTGGGGGGAGCCCAAATCAACCATGGTCGCTGGAAGGACCATGTACAACAGCAGACGTTGGATACGATCCACCCGCTCTGCGCCTCATCGCATAAAGGGGTTCCTGCATCCTGGTCGCTTTGATACAAGCAATGCCTCGCTGCATGAGCCTCCCCCATACTCACGATCCTGGCGAATAATTGTCGACTCTTTTTAGACTTCTCAGTCATCAAAAAGAATTAAAGAGGCAAAGAAGAAAACTCTGTCAGCCGGCTGGACGGTTGAATCGGGCAACTGATCTGAGCCGACCTTCTAGGAAAAGAAAAAAAAGAAGACTAATTTCGGCGCCGCAACACCGGACTCATCTACCGCTCTTGTCCGACGCAAACGACTGACTAGTTGGTCCCACTACCGAAAGCCGTGTCTGCGGACTCCCGTAAGCCAGTGGCTTGCTTGCCTTCATTTTTTCAGCCTCTTGGCCAGGAGATTCATATCGTACCGCCGTGAACCCCATGCTCTGTGAATCACGCTGCTCGACGAATGCAACCCCCCTCTCCTAATCGACTGAACTACTCTGCCCTGATCGGTTCGTCCGACCTCGAGGACAGGAGGGGCATGATTATGCCGCTGGCTCGTGTTGGGCTGTCCCCTGTAACGTTGATGACCACTGTCTATGCCAACCCTGGGCTTCAACTTCATAGCCACGGGGTACGATCCTTGACTTGCTCGAGACTGCGATGTATGTACGCGGCACTTTGTCAACACAACGACAACGACGATGACTGCGAGTCAAAGACACTGGTCAACTAGGACTTGCCGTTCGTTCCAGCCGAGATCTTGCCATCGGCCCAGTACCATGAATCAATCATTCAACCCTGGTCGTGTAAGTCCGTTCAACGCCCCAGAGCCAAATTTTCAAGAAAGCAATTCACGGAGCGATGGCCATCAGACTTCCAAAAAACAAGAAGGATCTCCCCCAGGATTCGTCAACGTCTTTGGAGTTTTGGCTCTTCCGAAACCGCCGGCTCCATCTTACCCCATCCAAGAACCCTCGGGGGGTTGTGCGTCCGAACGGGCCTCGCCTACGGCTGCATAGCTGACGCTCTCTTCCTGATCGCCGTCCAGGACATTCGTCCACCCCCATTTGCTCCCCCCTTCGGCGCCGGAGCTGTCCTCCCGCCTCCCCTTCGTTTCCAAAGAAAAAAGAACCATGGGCCGCGTGTGATCTTTGGGATCTGGGCCCGGGCTCGGGTCCATGGGAAAGCTCTGTCTGTTCGCCGTCGTGCCTCTCGGTTCCAGCCACCCGCACAACGCCATTGTGAGCCGTCGTCTTGGGTTCATCCACTCTGGTCTGCTAGACTGTCGTTTGGAGTCTAGTATCACGGCGCCGAAACGAGGGTCAGAGAGCATATATTGACGACAGGCAGGCGAGCCTTCATTAGTGGAAGATGTCCATGTATCCGCACGTGGCAACACGGAATGAAATGTACTTGAGTCTTCCGTGTCGCTGTCATTTGACAACTCGCGAAACCTCGTAGTTGATAGTAAGGGAGTTGACAACCTCAGACACACGACTTCACATGGACACACCTGCTAATGTTCATGCTCACGCTGCTTCAACGGCGGTTCTTGGTCATCAATATCACCGCATTCTAGTAGGCGTCAAGTCAAGTACACATCAACCAACTTTCGCCTTGTTCAGTTCCACAGCAACGCCGCTTCACCTGCAACGCTGCTTGCTTGTTGGATTACTCGTCGATAGCTTGATTCGACACTAACAATACGAGGTAAGTCATGCTCATCAACCCAGCGCGAGCTATGCGCCGCAGGAACCATTACAACGCCAATAACCTGATTCGTATGCCGTGTATACCGTCACCCTGACCATCCATTTTGAAGGCATAAACCCCCCCGGCCGGTGTCATCCTTACGACGGGCCCCCTTTTTTTTTTCCACACTCTGAGATCAAGACATCTCACAAACTCCTGTAAAGACCATTCACCGCCTGGACTGTTCATCGCTTCGAAACTCGACTCGGGGGTCGGTCTGTCGCCATTCTGTGGCCCACCGTCTTTCCATTGCGGCCCGACCTCGAGCTCCGTTCCGGCAACTGCTTCTTCTTACGCTTCAGAAGCCCACGGACCGTCTTGAAGGGCAAGACCAGCAACGCCACCACCGCAAAGAATGGCATTGTGATGATGGCCCAGACTGACTCTACCAGCCACTGCAAGAATCCCGGCCGCGCGGCGCTGTTTTTGGCCGCGGCAGCTGCAAGTGCGATGGCGTCGTTCAACCGCGTGTCAACAGCCGCAAAGCGCGATTCGGTTTGAAAGGCGAGGACCGTAGCTTTCTTCTCATACCGTCGCACTGCTCGATTCAGAGCGTCAAGATCAGGCTGGATGGCGTTGCGAACATCGCGAGCAATGGAGGCCTCTTGCTTGATTTTGGAAGTGTCCGAGTTACCATTCTGCTTGATCGGCGTCGGCTCCGGTCGTGATTCTAGTAATTCTAGCCTGGCCATCAATACCCTGACTTGGTCCGGCGTAACAGCCTCCTCTTTGAACGGGTTTGCGTGGACGTCTCGCTGCAGCTGAAGCGTCCGGCACTGAACTAGCTTCATCATGTGTGACAGCGGGCGGAGCTCTGCAGCAAGCAGAAAGATGGTCAGGTTGTAGTTGGATACCAGCCCCTCGGAGGGACGGCTCAGCTGCGCGCGAATGGCATGCAGAAGATATGCACCCAGCATGGGGAACATGAAGCATGATACCAAAGCCAAGATCTCATGTACCCAGAGCTCGGCCAGTGCGTCATCCTTCTTCACATTTTGAGGAACCTTGAGCGCCGGTTCCTGTACCGACGACGTGGGTGTGGTGGGGACCTCGGACGCATCGTCAAGGCTTCCGTTGACTGCATGACCGTTCAAGGTAGACGCCGTCGACGAAGGGCTCCCTACGGCCTGTTCGTTCTCGCTTTCGTCGTCGATGACCGCACTGGTGCTGACCTCTGCCCGAACGCGCACTGCCTGTGCCGAATGGTACCAGTTCCTGAGCGACGATGTCAGCGCTCGGATGATCCTGTCCCCCGCAACGAGGAATTGTAAACGCCGGACTTACCATGGATGTGTCACAGACCAGTGCAGAAACACGGCCGACAAGCCTAAAAGCATTATATCCGTCACGACAGCGCTGCCATTATTAAACAAAAGACCACCAACGGCCGGGAGGAGAGCAAAGGCTAGAGGGATTGAAGCCCAATTTGACATGTCGTCGGATGATGGCGGCGGCACGCCCGTCGGTTTTGGGTTCAGCAGGTCTCTCGCCTCTCCAAAGCTATAATCTGAAAGTGTTGAACTTCTCCTCCGATGCAGACCAGCTCTCTCGATGAAGGATGTCTCTGTTGGAAACTGGCCAAACGGCGTCCGGCGCCGCAGTTGCGAGGACTCATCGACAGTCACGGCGCGTTTGATGGAATGGCCGGAGGGTGCTGGTGATGGTGTCGCGCCGGGGGAGGACACGGTCTGCTTCCTGCTGATATTGCTCGCCGCCGTAACCGGCGTAATCGGGCTTCGGGGGCCTCCGTTCTCGTCGGACATGGCCAAAGGGAGGTGGATATTCAGTCTAGGTCAACTCTGTGTAGCCGCAAGTTCCGGCGTCTTCGGAGTGTTGTCGCTTTCAAGCTCCGTCGGTGGAGGATGTTGTATCGTTGCTCGTGTTGTAGGGACAGTCGAGAATCAAGAAACGGACATGCAAGTCCAGGCTAGGGACAGGCAGTCGAGGGGTTTTGAGGATTCCTCATGCGCGACGCGGGCAGGCGAGCTAAGGTAGTGCAGAGCAAGACGAGAGGAGAGGGGGTTTCCCGAGGCGAGACAATCTCCTGAGCAATAAGGCAGCAGAGGAAGCTAAGGAAGGGGGAGAAAAGGGAGTTCGGAAGGGAAAGAGGAGAAGGAGGAAGAGGGGGAAATGGCGGCGACGGCGGCGTGCCACAAGTCGTGGTGTGTGTGTACGTGCGACCGAACCGGCTCAGTCGTTCAAGGGCGAGTGAAGCGCCACGAGCTGAGGGTTGGTTCGTCGCGGCGGGAATGGACGTGGTTTTAGTTTGGGACTGGCTGGTGGCGACTTGGGATCGTCCCTTCCCTGCCTTTGCCTTGTCTTGCCTTGTCTTGCCTTGCCTTCCCTGCTGGACGCAGCTAAGACACGGTGCTAAGCTGCTAAAGGTACCCAAGACAGCTTGATCGCAAGGCAAGGTACCGCGCCGTGATTGGGCCAGCGGCAAGCCTGACGCTGACGCTGACGCTGCTGCTGATGCGTGAGTCGGGGTCTCGAATCGGGGCCGGGTACTTATGGCCGAAGTATCCGTACGGTACGGTAGGTCCCTGACGGGAGTGCCCCAAGAATGGGACGTGGAATGAGCAGCTAGGAGCTTCGACCAATGGAGGCGGGGATGCGACGGTATGCAGGAGCAGACGAGAGGTGAGGAGAAGCCGTCGTCGAGCACGCGATATCTACGTTGTTTAGGTAGGTAGGTGCATTGGATACCTTATCTATGGGAGGAGGTAAAGGTAAGGTATCTTAGGTACCTAGGTAAGGTACCTTAAGGTAGAGATGGTGGCGGAGGAAAGGCAGAGAGTACAGAGGGACAGCGATGCAGCACAGAAGCTCCCTTGTCTACCTTAAGGTATGGAAGGTAAGCTCTATTGATGTTGACCAAATCGAATCCATCTTTACTGGTACAGCTTTGCCGAACTGCCCCAACAGGGCTTGCTATTGCTTGCTCCTGGGCTACTGGGCTGCTGTTCCTCCTGCTTGCTCCATGTTTCCTGCATGTCTAACTGCGGACTGCAGGGATGGGGATGATGCACCTTCAACGTCACCCCCACCCGGCCACCCTTGGTCACTTCGCGTTCCTCACTGGCTGCAGCTGCCTTCTCCAGATTCTCGGCAGGCTGCTCCCGCCGCCGCCCCAGGGCTGCCCACCCTGTAAGGATCCACTGCGCACGCCGTCTGCCGGGAGAGCTTCTCCGCTGCAACCTTGCCGGATGCGCCTCTGCAACCACCACCTCAGGGCACGCCTCCCGCCATGTACCTACTTGTCTACAGACCTATCTTGCCCTCGTGCTTCTTTGCTGCCCGGTGCATAATCGCAATCTCCACGTATTTCCTCTGCGAGTGCTTCAACGGCGCAACTAGCGATACCGTCTTCAAGCTGGTAACATCTTCATCTCGGTATTACAGTGCTCCTGTCTTCCTCCCATAGGCCCAGCGCCGAGGATTGACCGCACTTGAAACAGCCATCTCATCGCCAGTGACCCGTCCATCTGCTTCCTCGGCAGGTCATCATCTAGAATCACTTCCACCTGCTAACATGGGATATGAGTATCGGCACCTTACGTCCCGTCGTCAGAAGTCCGCTGTTTGCACCTGGCATCTGCCCCATGACCTTATCTGCGCCCATCGCGGCCTGTCGATTCCGAGCATCTCGTACGGCGCGAGTATCTAAACACAGGCAGTTTCTGCCTCCTTAGTGCAACAATTGGCGTTGAGAATCACTGGCGGCGCCTGATGCCTCGGCATCGCAGTCCAGGCTACTTCTTGTGATGGCTCGACTTTGCAGTCATTCGTTGTCTGACAACGGGTAACAACATGCAGCCACGGGCCTTCGCCTTGCCTTCCGTCCCCGCCCCAACAAAAACATGGACTGCTGCAGCACCGATGCTGTCATATTCAGCCAATCCTCTGTAGTACTTCGTCTGAATCCACAAGCCTAGACCGGGTGATCAAAATCGACCCGGTGGGAGGTAAAGCACGGGAAGTGAATCTCTTGCTTTCGCGGCGAATCTACCTCTGAAGAAGACCAACGTACTGAATCGCCTTGGGACGAGCGATTGCTGTGGTTTCTTTCTTCGTCACGGGGCCTCCACATCGTTGGCCGTGCCCCGGGGCTGGCCGAAGCGACCTTGTCATCGTCTGAATTAGACCTGATGGTTCAAGATAACCTCAAGCGAGCTGCCAGGATGTCGAACTGCACCTCGCTGCCGCGCGGTTCGGATGAGCATGTGGTGCACTAAGGTCACCGAGGTCTTATTCCCGCGACCGCGTCCTTCAGTCCTTCTCGTTCCAAGCGCGCCGCTCTCATTTTTATTCATGTCGACTTGGGAATGTTCAGTCTCAACCCCGCAAGTCGGATTGCGAGCGAACGTTGTAGCCCAGTCAGAGACGCGGCTCGACTGCGCGATGTGGCCACAGCGCAAAATGCAATCGGACGGCCGCTATCACCTTATTGCCCTCATAGGCAAGTCAAAGCACGACCAGTTTCCCTGCTGGAGGCCACCTCTGGCCGAGTTGTTTGGACTGTCGTCGTTTGATTTTGCAAAAAGGAAGACGTCAAGACTTGGGTGTTTGCATCGCCTAACCCATCTGAGCTGATGGAGGCTGGCTGAAATATGTCTGAGAGTCGGGTGTCAAACGGAACCCCGCAATTCCCCTAGCTGGTCACGGCAATGTCTCATTGACGTGTGCCAGCCGCGAGAACAAACGAACCGTGGAACCGAAACCTGCGGTTGAACACAAAGCGGAGTACTCGTGTCCGAGATGTGTCATGTACAAACTCGAAAACAAAATTATCTTCCGGTACAGAGCTCCGGCGCCATATGTATTGCTCAGCAAGCGCGACCGCGCGCAGCAGTTGGCTGTCTTACCCGGACAGCACGATCGACACGTAGAATGCCCTGCTCGCTCGTGTGCCCCATGGGCATCAACGTTGCCAGATTGAGATGCCAGGAATGCCATCCTTCCGTTTGCAAGGGATCACTTTGCTCGTTCGTCCGCCATTTCAGGCTGTGTCTGATGTCCAGAAGTAGACTCAATCTGCAACGGGAGGTTGACCGCCCTGAGACACCTCCCAACCAATGCAAGAAGCTCCGGTCGGATTTGACCTGTCTGCATTCTGAGCCTTCCAGAACTTGGTGTTTTAAGTCTGGTAAAGTCGGGCATGTTGGAAGGCCCTCATATCCAAGTTTGCAGGCAGATTGTCCAATGATGACAGAAATGACTTCATCCAGCCGCGGGCTGCTAGTCCAGGGCCATCGCCGGGTACCTCATCGTGGTGTACCGTACCTGAGCCCAGTTGGCGGCCCCGGGCCCCTGTACGGATTGGCGGAATCACCGCCCCGCTAGCCGTACCTGAGTTGCCAGATTTGGGACCAGGAATTGTGGTTCGAATGAGAGATCTGTCGAATCTCAGCGCGATAGTCTCGGGGAACCTTGTAGATCAGCGTCCCTTTTGGTGCTTATTTCTTGTTTTATTGACATGTCTTGGGCCAAGCAAGAAAATTCGGTAGAGCGGGAAGGTAAAGGAGGGCGAGAGCAACGCCGTGCTCAGCCAGCCAATTTGCCAACCGTTCGGGGCTTTCGAAGCTCCAAGAACCTGGCACAGCAAGATTCGAACTGCATGGAAGGCATCTCATCATGTGAAAATGAGATGATACCCACAGACGCTCTGGTCTGCTTGATCAACGCGCAGAAGGACAATGGGGACGCGAAGAAGTGCGTGGTGTGTGGGTTCGTCGAGCTGTGGCCGTTGCACCATTTTGGGAGTTTCGAGGATAAGCCGCTGACGAAGCAATGCCCAGGTCGGCTACCTACTTGCAGATGCCTACCTATCAGAGGAGAGAGGAGGCTCAATCTTGTACATACGTGAGAATGTGCTCGGATCGTGTGCAATCGTGTCCCTCATCCCGAAGACGTGGCCATCCCGACGAGCCGGCCAGCAGGACCACTGAATGTTTTGCCAAACGCGCCGCAAGGTGTCATCGGGAACATTGCCAACGCTTGAAAAAGAAGTCTGCCGACGCGGACAACCCGGTCAAACCCTGGCCTCGTTTTCTCGGGGAGCCAGGGGAGCCAGGATGGTTCAATGGGCCCGGGAAAGGGTATGGGAAGGAAGGTAGCGAGTGCGTCACCTTGAGGCCAGGCTGGAAAAAGTTGCCCAGCCCGTGTTAATTGAGGGCAAGGCCAGGCGAGCGGGAGCCTGGGTGTTGGGCGAAAATCTCTGCAGAACGGTAGACCTGAGTGCAAAATGGACAATTTAAAGCACCATGGCTGGTGAGGCGGAAAGACAGGGTCCTGCCAGGCTGAGGAGGTTCCGGGATGGCTACAAGTCGTGAGGTTGGTTTTGAAGCAGCCGGCGTCATATATTGTTGGGCTGGGGACGGCTCGTTGGAAAGCGTTTCCGCATCGTGTCAGACCCTTCTTTTTCTTTTCTTTTTTACCGTGAACCCTCCCGCCCCCACCGAGCCTTGCGTCAGGAGGGAGCTTCGACGCTGTACACTGTATCTGTGACAGAGACTGCCCGGCGGAACGTCCGATTGTCGAGTCGTCGACTTCTGGCCGTTTCCCCCAAACAGCGGGGCATTTTTGGGTTTTAAGCTCTTGGTGTCTGTCTCTTCTTCTTTCTTCCATTGTCTCCCACCCTCGACTCGCCCGCGACAAGTTTTTAGGCCGACATCTGACATATCGGTCGCTCGAAAAGACACACGATAGACATCGCCCTCACGGGGCGTCTCCGGAACCGACGGCGAAAACCAGACGACTATTGGAGGAGAGAAACCAAGGACGAAGAGACAGAGACGAGTGAACCGGTCACCAGGCAGATCGTGATCTCGCACGAGGCCGACAGCGGACTACGCACAACCACCACGCGATAGCGATACATCGTCACCAAGCAAGCGCGTCGCCTCACCCAGCAGCAGCAGCAGCATCTTGGTGCCCACCCAGGCAGAAACATATCGTCACGGGCCTCGCTCTACCCGACAGGATCCAAGCGGCAGAGCATAGCGCAGGCACAAGCAGGCAAGCACGTACGCTCGCACGCACTCACGCATTCGAGGAGGAAAGTCTTTTGGTGCTGGGCGGTCCAGGTCCAGGCTCTTCACCGTTCCTGCATCAACGCGCGGGCTTCAAACCTCAAAGCTCACCCACCTCCACAGGACCGGCCCAGAGCCAAGGACCAGTGAGGTAAGGTAGGGAAGCTTGCCTTAGGGAAGGCATCCCCAGCCTCCAGAACAAGAGTCTTCCCAAAATGCCGGGACCGAGACTCAGGGCACACTCACAGGCTAACCCAATCTCGGCGACTCTCCTTTCCCCCCTGAACGCTCGCCCCACAAATCATCACTCGCTGCCCCATCGCGCCCTCGTCACGCCTGTACGGCCGCCAGTTTTTGCCAATAATTGGCCCTCATCATTCACCAAAGCGACCAGGCGCTGCTCCCGTTGGTGCTGCAGCAAGAAGACCCATCCCCGTCCAGGTCCCCATCCTTCCGTTGGGCTTGTTGCCGCTGCAGGGTCGTTGCCGTCGTCGTTGTCAAGCAGGAAAAGCAGCCGCACCACCACCACCACCACCGCCGCCGCCGCTACCACCCGAGATACCACCTGCGACAGCACATTTTGCTCTTCCCTCCAAGGGCGAAGCGCTGTTGTTGGCCGCATAACTCACGATTGCATTGAGACCACCTCCGCCGTCAGCAGCACCAATACCTCCACCTGCACCACCCCTACCGCCTCTGCGAAAGCTAATCCTGCTGTCCGAGCCACCATCGTCGCTGTCGTTGCCGCTGCAGTCGCTGCTTCTTCTCTCGCCTGTCTTCTGCATTTCTTTGTTCGAGGCTCCACTCTTCTAGCCGCAAACCTAATCGTTTTGCTGCACGACTCCAACCTGCGCTGTCGCTTTCTCACCAGTCACAGTCCTTCGACGTCCCCTCCATCTCTGTCGCCAGCGCATTTCCAGATTTTCCCGTCACTGCCGTCGCCGTCGCTCCCGTCGAGTAGAGAGGGCCTGGCGATCTCCACGAGCGTGGCCCAGGCGTCGCTGCAAACTCCTCTTCGACCAGACCTGTACTCCACAGTTCCCCGTAAGGCCGTCGACCTCTCGGCGGCCTTCCTTGAACCATCTTTCCCACGGCTTCCCACGCGAGATTCACCTCTCCGTCCCCCGACCCGGCCACCTTAGATGCATCCGCGAACACTCGCCTGCCCACGCTATCGCAGCAGCCTGCCTACCCTGGCGCTTCGCCCGACCTTGACCGTTCAGTAGCCGCTGCCGGCCTGCCTCAGGGCCGCAGCCCATCCTTTCTTCGCGGTTACGACCCCAAAGACTATTTCACGCAGTCTCCCTTTCGGAATCGTGCAGCCTCCTCCGCTGCCCGTCGCCTACCTCACCTTTCTGCTGCTCGTCTCTGGAACCCAACGAACTCGACCCCGCGACTCCCTGAGAAGACCATTCGCAAACGACGTCCATCGACACCGCCTCCTCCCGCAGTTCCTCTATCACATCCGACCCTCGATCCCTACTCCGTCGATCCCTCCGATCCCTTGGGCATCGGCGCAGGCGATTACCCGCTTTTGACACTCCCCGAACAACGTCAGACTAGACATTCCACGTCGAATCGCGCAAGCCTCCAGCTCGACAGAAACGCCGAACACCGCATCAGCCTTCCGCCCTCGGTTCGTCACTCATACGACGGAAGAAGATCCGCCGACCCTTCGCCGACGTTTCAAGACCCCGACTCTGGCCTGGGTGACGATAAAGGCGACGCGCCTGCAGAACCACCCGTCGAACCTCGAGTTACTGGCCTTCGAAAGCGAGGTCAAAGCGTGTCAAACCCTCTGGTCGTGGACTTCGCCTACGTCGACAAGGGCAAAGGAAAAGCAATCATGGAGCAGACTACCGAGGCACAGGTGCGGGGGACTTCTAAGGACTTGGAGCGTGGACCTGATGTGCTTCCACGCATTTCCAATGTGTCGGCCGGCGATGGAATCGGCTCGGCTATATCCTCATCGAACTCATCTATCATGGGAGAGGAATTGCCGCCAGATCTCGGCGAGGAATGGGGCCCCCAGCACCCGTGTTTCCCGCATCTAAATCCCCACGTTCCGATCGACTCTCCCGAGTATCACAACACGCGTATCATTCGCATTCGGCGGGACTGGTTGTTGGAAGGAGATTTGGCTCCGACGTTCTCAAATCTGTACCCCGAAATTCTTGACCCGGCTGGTTTGTCAGAGCAAGAGTTCCGCCGTATCATCGACAGGCTGAACGGTGAGCTTGTGCCAATATTCAGCCCATACAACTGGAGAAACATAATGGACAGTGTTCTGGGTTTGGTGACGGGGTGGTTGTGGGATGACTTGGGCTTCACTGGCGTCAAGGCCCGGCTGAAGCGTCTGGAACGGTGGGTAGACCAATGGAACAACGAGATGGAGAAGACGGTGGGTAACGAAGACCCCTCAATGGCGCCGCGCATCATTTCGTTGAGGCGGACGGGTTACATGACTGTGAGTCTTTCTCCTTCGGTGTTTGCAAAGTTCTCAAGCTAATAGTCTTCGCAGCTGGACATACAGATTCCCGATCCTGAAATCGCCCCGGCCCCGAGCACACCAACAGGGTCGGGGAACATGCCCATGGAGCCTCCGGCTGCCGTGACGGCATGATCCCACGCGAGGATGACAGGCTCTCTCGGCCTGGCTTCAAAAGTTTGCGTTCTTCTTTTCGAATCCGCTATTTTAACGTACGCTCTTTTATAATATCGGATCGGCGGCGACCTCGGCTGCACCACCAACATGAGTTTATACGACCATAGCCGCGCTCTCACGAGCTCTCGATATCCTTTTTACCGGGATTATTCTTTCTTCATCCCACCTACCACAGTAGTACCTTATACCAAAGGCATGGCGCGGAGTTTTGGGCCCCTGGGCTGGGGAATCGGTTACGAATGTGATTCGACGACGTTTTTTTGTTCCCTTACTTGTTTTCTCGGCTTTCAAGTCTTTTTTTCCCACCTTATCCCTTTTTATTTACCAGAGTGGCAGTCTGCAAATATTTTTTTGAACGTGGGGTGATGGAGGAGATGACCGAGCCCGCTTACGAATGGGGCAGATGATGGATGGACGGAGGCAGTGAGCTAGCTCGCTCGGACTTTTTCCGACGCACGATGTGAGGTAGAATGATGAGCTGCTTTTAATTTACGTAGATACCTATCGGCTTATTCGCCTTCTTGAACATGGTTTACTCTGGTTCCTTCTTTGACTCTACGTATTCACGAAATCTGTGCCATGCCACAGCAAATGCGTCGTCTGTCTGTCATATTTGAGCCAATCGCGGTGATGCCATCACCGCCACCGCCGAGAACCAGTCTCCCCAACATGACATTACTGCTGATCGTCTCCCAGATGTCAAGCAGGCCCTCTCGTGTCTCGTCAGTCGTGTGGTTCACGGTAGACCCGCCGTTTCAAGCGGGGTACGAGTGATACACTAAGAAGGTCGGTCAACGATCATGCTCGTCCTGCTTGACGAGTGTGACGTGCAGAAACAATTGGCGGTTTCTTGGTGACGCTCTCAACAGGTGCTGCAAGTTGGATGAATGTGCAACGCACGGGATAGGGGCGTTTGCGCATGGTCTTCCACCACATGGGGCCCTCTTTTTCGCTTGAATTTCTCTGGGTCCCTTCAGCAACTGTTCAGAAGGCGTCGCGGGCAAAGTTCGAGAGCACATGGAAGGTTCGACCCGTAAGAACAGGCAAGGAAGACTTATGAAATCATCTCCGGCGCTCCTGGCTGTAGGTCTCTGGTTGTTCCATATGCGCTTGAATCATGGTAATCAACTCCGGCTGGGGAGATAGTCGGGGTAACCAATCGTCTTGAGTTGATTGCTCCGCTTGAAGGTGGTTCATGTCCGACCCCAAGTGTGCGTGCACACGGGACTTAACTGCCGGTATCTGTTTGCCTGAGAACCCGTGGACTCCCAGTCGGCCGCGGAAAGAGCCAGTGAGATTATTGGGGGGAGAGTCCCCGTGGTGATAGCCTCCCTTAGGTGTCTCTGAGGAAATACACCTGGCAGTGGTATAATCTTTGTGCTCGCTGATCGCACAGGATTCGGGTTCTATGACGGTAATTATCATGTCGTCGGAAGGGTCGTTGACCTCTGTGGTGTATGGTGGAGGTGGCGAAGATAACGAGCCTTGTCCCTTTGAAACCTGGCTAACATGAACAGATCGACCGAAACTATACTTTGGAGACTTGGCGAGCGTTGACCTGATAAGTCTTGGTCAGCAACGTGATAATATTTTCGGGGCGCTTAACACTCACATTGAGACTGTCCCCCAGGAGCCTGCTGGAATTTGACCTGTGCTTGATGTGGCGTCGTCACTTAGTCTCGGGAACACTTTATCGAGACGCATGGTCAACAAACAGTGACGATATGTATCCATTGAGTCTTTGCTCATGCCGAAGAAGACGAATATTGCTGCTGTCGTGATGATTGGTAGATAGTTGGAGTTGAGTTCGAAGAAGGTTAGTTGGTCGTATGGGTATAGGATGACCGAATCCCATGGCCAGGCGCCGTCACCATAGTGAATTTCTTTGAAGTCGAATGCTTGTAAAGGCAAGTAAATTTTGATCTGGTAGACCGCATAGGCGCAGGAAATTGGGACGTAAGGAACAAGAATGCAGGTTGTCATCAAGAACAACCTACGCCGTGTTCGATTCGATCTCGCAGCGGTTGAGGAGTTTGAGACGAGAGCAGAACGAGTTGTGCCTTCAATCTGCTTAAATCGTCTCCAGGTGAGAACTGTGCAAGGGGTTAGCAGACAGGTATGTCATGTCTCGAGTTGACTGGCCTGAATAGAATCCTGCCATCAGAGTCACGACTGGGATTGGCAGCAGAAAGAAGACGATACATGGCCAATTTGGTGTTGTACTCCATAAGCACCCCTTGAGTGTGCCAATAATGTATCTCTGTCCTGCCAGAGGATACAGCCAGCCGACTTGAATGACGGGGAGCGGAAATATTATCAAAGCCTGGATCCACATCTTCTTCTTCTTCTCGATGGTAGTGAGCGGACCAGCGCGGTCTAAGTTGACTTGCTCTGCGAGATTTCGCATGATGGCGGCGATCGATGTGGCGTAGATGGTTAAAGCAGGTTGGTAGAGGTAAGGGTGAATATCGCACCAGACCCAGCCTCTCCACCATTCTTTAATGTTGTCGTCGCGCCAGATGAGAGAGTTGACGACTGTAAGAAGGTTAAGAAGGATGACTGTGGAAACGAACACAACCGCCGCAAACTCGCCGTTGCGATACAGGTTTCTCAGCGGAATCAGACAAACCAGGTTGGCCAGGCATGCGGAAACCACTCGGCAGATCAGGTTGGCTTTCATAGAGGGTGTCGTATAAGGTGCTGTTGGCAAAAGAGGAATCACTTCGAGGCTGCGAGCCATCAGGCTTTCTGAAATGGGTGCCATGTTCATGAAACCGAGAGGCCTGATGGTCATGGAAAACGAAGACAGAATACTTCCTGGCTTTATGCCCTTCCCAAATGGTGCGACCAGCGCACAACGAATCGCCGGATGGTTAGTGGATGAGAGCCATGTGCTGGCGGGAAGGGAACGCAAGAGGCGGGTAGTGTAACTGGAGGAAGTATCCTTCGCAAGCCGAAGTTTTCTTGAGGGGGGGAAGGAGGAACGAGGCCAGATTGACGTAACAGTCGGTTGTGGCTAGCAGTGGCAGATGAGCGTAGTGGCGAAAGGAGGGACAGCAGGGCGATGTATGCCCTACCGGGAAGGAACGAAGTATCCCGCCCCTTCTTCAAGGCAGCTATAGAGGAAGGCCCTGATGATACGAAGCCTTGACGAGAAAGGAAAGGGGCCCTCAAAAGAGAGGAAGGGGCACTCTCGGACGCAACTGCAGAGGTCCTGCTTCATTCAAACTACGTGAGGTAGAAACACATCTCAGGCAACCAGCGGGCCGCATTAACATGGAGGCATGATCATATCTTACCACGGAAGAATAATGGTGAAGACCTTGGCTAAAGTCCAAGGCTGACGGACGTGGCGGTTACGAATCTCCGCCCCAGGCTCACAAACTTGATCTGTCGAGGATCAGATGTGACAGACCAGCTGATCATATCACATTTGCGAGCGAAACACAACCATGCCTTCCTAAAGAAATACAATGATTCATTCACTCAGAAGATGGTTTCACCCTGTTAGTGAGCTGTTGGGCTTTACATCACCCAGGCCATTGTCATGTTCTGAGTTCTGGTGTGCCTGCGTTTAGAATGCCCCCTGCTGGTTCATGAGAAGTCGCCAGCTTACCCTTTAGATGCATAACCCCCGATAGCAGCACTACCGAAGCGTCGCATGAACCTCATTCCCAGATGCACGGGCCACATCAATGCTGGCCCTATCTGGGGAAGTTAGTGATCGCGTCCAGTCGCGCATGGCGCGAGTTCAGCTCACCGCAAACCTCTCGCCGACTCGTGTTCACCATCGTCTTGCTTCATACACTCCTTTGAACCCCCAAACACCACAAAAATCGCCCTTCCCAGCCGTCAACATGTCCGCCACGCTCTTCCGTCGCGCCGCCGTTGCCCCGCGCTTTGCTGCCCGTGCCTTCAGCACCTCCCCCGCCCACAACGTTGCCCGCATCTCCATTATCGGTAACCTCGCTGATACCCCCGAGCTCCACGCCACCAGCACTGGCCGCGAGATCGTCAAATACGCTGTCGCCAGCAACAGCGGTTCCCGCGAGAACCGTCACACCAGCTGGTTCCGTGTCACCAGCTTCGCTCCTGAGGGACCCGGCCGTGACTTCCTCCAGAGCCTGCCCAAGGGGTACGATATAGCGACACCACGTTCACTTTGCGAGAATTTCTGACGACTGACATTCAATGACTCTTTAGAACCATGGTTTTCGTCGAGGGCGATGCCTCCATGAGCACCTACCAAGATGCCGAGGGCAAGACCCGCAGCTCTCTCAACGTTGTCCAGCGTATGTTCCGATCGATCGCTTCACACAAAGTGAAATATTTGAGCCTTCTAACTCTCCCTCAGGCAACATTGAGGTCCTTAGACGCCCTGCCACCGGCACTCCCGCCAGCGAGTAAATACGTCCTTCAATGCTATGAACCGAGTTCTTTATGTTGAATGACGACTACGAGAGCCCACCATCCGATGTTGACTTGAAAATGGCCCTTCTCCACTCTGTGCCGGGATTTCTTTTGTGTGATGACTTTAAATCGGGCCTGATGAGGCACGTTGTACAAAACTTTTTGGGGACGATAATTGATACCACGGGTTATGCTCTCTAATGCTATATGTATCCCTGATGACACGCAAAGCTCGATACTGGCCCCGGTTCAAGCTTGCGGCAGGCGGCCTGAGGAGTCCGATGGCTTCGTCTGCTCCAAGAGGCATCAGACAAGAGTACAACTGTCCATGCACCCGAAGCCAGCCGCGACTCCGCCCTCATTGCTCGTGTCGCCCTTGGTGCGGAGCAAGTAGCCGGCCTCATTGTTATGCACTATCTCACCGGTGCCCTGGTTCCATACCGCCGTCCCGTAGATGCCCAGTTCGCAGATAACACCGCCCTCCTCAAGGTTACCGTTGCGGAGAATGATATTGTCCTGCTTAGGAGGGGTGATCAGCTCCATCAGGATATATGACCCCCAATGGGACTCGGGGGTCTTCTTCAAGAATTCGGGAATGTCCTCGCGGTAGTGGTTGTTTCCACCGCCTTCCCTTTGGGGTTTCAGGACGTAGTTCTTGCACAGTTCGGGATCCTGGGCGATCTTGCGCGCCTTGAGACCAGCCTCGGAGTCGTCCATGGGGAAGATGTTGGTGAAGGTCTGCCACACCTCTGCGGTCTGAGGAGAGTCATCGGCAATAAAGCGACCCAAAACTGAAGGAGACGATCCAGATCTCGGCGTTGCTAGAACTTGCTGAATCTTCTTGCTGCCTGCTAACTGGGTCAAGACGGTAGGACACTTGATTGCCGATGACCTCTCCAGGTGGTAGCGAGCCTCCCAAGTGCTCTCGTCGGGATAGTCCGACGGATCATACCAGCATCGAAGGTACGAAACAGCGACCTCAAAGACCTTTGAGGGATCTCTAGGCACCTTGTAAAGAAGCTGACGCTTAGGCGTGTTTGCGATTTCGGTGTGCTTGAGAAGCTCGGAGAAAGGAATGCGAAACACATTGACCGGGTTAGGAGAGCTGGTGAGCGCATACTCGAGATGTCGCTGGTCGAAAATGTTGCGCTCGCCACCTTGTACAACAAAGATTACACACTTCGTGTGGCCGAGTTCCGAGGGGCCGTACTGGTCAAAGGCAGCGCGGATGCCGCCTGCAAGACCCTGGACACTCTGGTTCTCTGGCAAATCCAGAGAGCCCGACTCAATAGAGCGGTTCAGCAGGGGGTACTCAGAGACAGAGAGAAATCTGCTGGTATTAGCAACGCACTCTCCCGAACAGATGAGACAGACTCACTTGTGGAGGAGCGAAGTTCGAGACGAGAGACCGCCAAAGGATGCCGCTATCGTGTTGAACTCAACTTGCTTCACCTGGCGCTTGGGTTGGCCTGATGAGATATCCTGGTGAACAAGGTAATCGGACCTGAATAACCCGAGTGAAAGGTTCTTGACCCAAATTAGCCCAGCGTCAACGTATCACAGCATCCAAGCGGACGAACCTGGGTGTAGCCCTCCTTCTTTACTCTCAAATGAGTATCCCAAAGTTTGCCGATGAAGTCGTCGCCGCTCTTTACCCTGTTTGAAGTCAGACATAATCCAGTGGCTTCAGCGTGTATCATTACGACTCTCCCACATAGAGCGTTGCAGGAACTCACTCATTGACCATCTCGCTCAGGAACTCTTCGTCCCTACTGATGGCGGCATATAGCTCGTTGTAGGTCTTCTGGACCGACCGTGCTTGTGCAAAGCACTGTTTGGGGAATGGGCTGGGGAAAAGCGTGACTGGCACGTTGACTGCTAGGATTCCCTTTGGGTCTACATCCGCTGGAACAACGGCAGGAGGTGGTCGAACAGACAAGCCGTTGCCAATCGCCCAATCCTTGATAGTCTGCACGAGCGCATCCTGCTCTGGCAGAGAAAGCCGAGGGGGGTATTGCTCCGTAGTAAGTGTTGCAGGTGCCATCTTTCAACTTCGGCGCCGACAAAGCGGTTGGAAGTGCAGAAGGAAGAAAGTCCACTGAAATCCTGATACCTATTGTTCGAAAATCAGAGGTAGGAAGTATGAGGCCGGGACGGCGTTCTCTCTATCTCAGCATTAGTAATTGAAGTGCGCTCAAAATTATGCAGGTGGTAGACATGCTGAGAAATCACTCGTACGAGTAGCGTTGTGTGATCCTCAATCCCAAAGCTTAGCGTGTTGTTGCGTACCTAGGCTACACAGCACGCGTGGAGTCTCTCAGATGGCGCACAAATTAAATCTGGACGATGACGATGCTAAGAGACGTTGGCCATGGGCATTTAGCAATTGAGAGGATGAGGGGGCATCACAATTGAAGGAGGGGGAGGCTCTGATGGCCCCACCGCGAAGCCCCGCGACTAAGGTAGGTTTCCCAGCTGAAGAGTAACTGTCCTGCGCGCAGGATGCAGCGAAGACGTGCTTGAGCTAACTAGGTACGGCAGTGTGAGGCAAAGGCAGACGGCTGGGACGGAGAGTTGAAAAATTAGCCAGGCAAAGCGCCGAGGCATCTTAAAGAAAAATATCACATCGCAGGCAATAATTTATATGACAAAAGAGGCACCGCTCTTTCATCTTGGGGTTGAGAAAGATCAACGGGGATTCATATCAAAAGACAGCAGGCTCAAGCTGCAATGCGGTGGTCTTAGGTACTTACCCCTCCACCCCACTATCTGCTTCTTCTTATCTGTGTCTTATCAGTTATCTTAACACCGAAATTCATCACGTGTCAATAGTGGATTCTCAAAATTAGGTGATCAAAGCCTAGATGGCACCGCGCCGCTGCCCGCACTAGTGGCAGTGTCTACCTACCTACCTAGTACCTATCTAGGTACCCAGGCACCTTATCGACTCTGCCAGCGGACCTACCCTGCTGTTACAGTTACCCCCGTCACATCTGTACATGCGCTAGAGGGGATGTGGGGCGAGAACGACTTCCTCCGCGACTTCTACACCAGCACGCGTCGTGAATTGAGAAGTCATTGCACCTGCTGTCTACCCAGTAAGTTGGTTTCTATCCTTCTTGCGCCTTCAAAAGCAGACTGTTCACACGCCTGGACTCAAACTCGACCTTTCTCAACGTCACCCCTTTTTTTTCAACTGTCCGTCCCTCGCGTCTCGACGAGGACAGTCCTCGGCTTTCAGCCGCCGCTCACCACCTGTTTGCCTCGCCGGGGTTTTTATTCCTTTGTCTTTTTGTACTGCCCGGGACCTTCCAGAAAATTCCTTGCCTACACCTCGAGTTCGGAAGAAGTTCT